CTTGCTCAGGAACAGATTTCGAGTGCTTCTTCCTCCAAGAGGAAAACTGGTGAAGCTCGTGGGTCTGATGATAAACATGAGGTAGAAGAAGGTTCTTTTGTGAAAACACCATGTGTCAGGAGACACATGGTTTCTGATAATGAAACCCCTGCTTCTCATGATCCTCCATCGAGTTCAATTCCTTTCAGACTCATTGATGAGCCATAAAATACTCCTTTAGATATTTCTGATGAAGACGCTACTAATCCTTCATCCAGTCCTGTTGATAGGTTGTTCCCATGGCTTTGAGGGTGAAGAAGGCTTCGGGGCTATTTCTAAAGAATTACCTCTCGCTTCCCTTCCAGTTCCATCTACTGTTAAACCCCTGTGTCTTTACCTGATGTTACTCCAGTTGTTGCTCCCATTGCTGCTTCTCATGTAGAAGCTGAGCCTTCTAGCAACATAAGGGAGATGAAAAGAGTTGTGATTGAGGTCCCTGAAGGTGGGAACTTATTGAGGAAGTCTAGTCAAGATGATGTGTGGTTAAAACCATTGTTAGGCTCCGTGGAGAAGAAGAAGTTGGAAAGCCATAGTTCACTCACCTTAATGAATGACATTGTTCATTCTTATCTGAATGTATAAGTTTAATTACATTTCCTTCCTTCTTTTTCCTTATTCATAACTCTTTTCCCCTACCTTTTTTGTAGATTAATTTGATTGGCACAAAGCTTATGAAAAGAGATTCTCAGACTGACAAGCAAATTATTGAATTGCATACCAAGGCTGACAACTGGAAAGAACAATTTGAAGGTCTTCAACTGGAAAAGGAAGTTCTTACAGAAGAGAAGAATGCTTTGGAGCAACAATGAGAATGGTTTCCGCTGAGTTGGCGGTTGAAAAAGCTTCTTCCAGTCAAATCGGGAAGGATAAGAATAGATTGGAATCCTCTTTTGCTGAATAACTTTCCAAGGCTACTTAGGAGATAAGGCGTTTGAAAGAACTCCTTAATCAAAAAGAGGTTTACGCGAGTGAATTGGTTCAAATACTTACCCAAGCTTAGGAAGATCTCCGCACCTCTATAGATAAAATTCAGTTCTTGAAAAGTTCTCTTGCCCCTTTAAAGACAGCCTATGAATCCTCGAAAGCAGAAAAAGAAGAGCTGAGAGCTGAGATTGATTAGTGGGAGAAGGATTACGAGGCCCTTGAGGATAAGTTATCGTTGGATGTTAGTTGGGTTTTTTCTGAACACTCGCCTCGAGACTTTAATTAAAGCCAAACGGGAAGGTTTTGACCTTAATGCTGAGATTACTAGGGCTAAAGAAGCAATTGATAAAACTCAGCAGTGTCAAAGCTTTTCCACACCTAAAGACGAGGGTTCTAAGGGTGATGGAGATGGACTTGTTCCTGGCGGAGCTGATGTTCAAGCCTCTTCTCCCCAAGTTGATCCTTCTTCTCTCGTTGATGATGCTCCTTAGCCTTTCTCCTTTTCCTTACTCTTTTGCTGGCTTTTATTTGGAACTCCCTTATGCTTCCTTTTCCTTAATTTAACAACTTTTTGGAAGGTTTGTTTTTGTTGCCCCTGTCTTTTTGGCGTTAGATGACAAATTTATCTCCCTTGTTTTAGGGTTAATATATAAATGTTTCTATTGCTTTTGCCACATATTATGATTTTCCCTTTTAATATTTGATCTTTCTATTGCATTTAAAAATTCCTTAATATTCAGTGACTTCGATTATCCTGTGACCAAAATTTTGGCCTTAACCTAAAACTCGTAGGAATATGGAATATCTTGCATCCTTTTCGCGAGTTAGAACTCCTTTGAAAAGTCTTCAAGGTTTCTTCAATGTTTTTGACTCAGGCTGAACTATGGTTTTGGTTCTTTTTGCTTCCTTCTATATGCATAGTCCCCCCAAGTGTTGGAGCTTTGAAGTATGAAATCCCAAACACTGGATCACTCCTTTCTTTTAGTCAATTCCCTAAAAAGGAAAATACGAATGAGACTCAGAGATAATTATTTAGACGATGGCTGCATAACACTTTTTTCCAATAGAAAAGTTGCAACCTAGACCGAAAATAACTCAGTATTTCGCGTGTCTTTAGGGTTTAATACCATCATTTGGTATGGGCCTATCATCTAAAAGGGTTAGTAAAATTCAAAAGAAAAAAATAAAATTGAACTTGCGTGATACTTGACCGTGGGTATTTTCCTCGTCTAGTAGTAATACTTCTCCAAATGAACCACATTCCAGTTCGATGGTAGAACCTTACCATCCATGGTTTCTAACTCGTATGCTCCTTTTCCTGCGATGCCTCGAACCTTATATGGGCCTACCCAATTTGGGCTCAACTTTCCCGTATTTGCCACCTTTTTGTTGACCGAAATATCTTTTTGAGGATGAAGTGACCAATCTTGAAGTACCTCAAATTAGCTTTCCTGTTGTAATATCGTTCAACTATCTATTTTTGAGCTGCCATTCGAATTAATGTTGCTTATCTCCTTTTTCTAATAAATACAAATTTACCTGCAACTCCTCTTTATTTGCCTTTTTGGTAGCATGTGTGTACCTCATACTTGGTTCACCTATTTCCACAAGAATTTAAGCTTCTGCACCATATATTAGTGAAAATGGAGTCTCAACCATACTTGTTTTTGCTGTCATTTGATAAGCCCATAATAACCCCGGTAATACTTCTGGCCATTTGCCCTTTGATTCTTCTAATCTCTTCTTCAAGTTATTGATAATAACTTTATTTGTTGATTCAGCTATTCCGTTGGCCACATGGTGGTAAGGTGCATATGTAATACATTTAATCTACCAACTTTGAAAGAATTCTGTGATTTTCGTGCCTATGAACTGCGGGCCGTTGCCACATAGGATTTCCTTTGGAACCCCAAATCGACATATAATGTTTCGCCATATAAAATCCATGACTTCTTTTTCCCGCACATGCCTCTACCTATTTTGAAATATAATCTGTTAAAACTAACATAAACAGTACCTTTCCTTTATCTTGAGGCAACGACCCTACAATGTCCATGCCCCCTTTCGTGAAGGGCCATGGTGAAATAACTGAATGCAACAGCTTTGCCGGGCGGTGCATGTTATTGGCATATCGTTGACATTTATCACACCTGGCTACAAAGGTTTCTATTTCTTCTTCCATTTTGACCAATAATATCCTGCTCTAATTAATGTCTTCACCAACGATCTTCTCCCGGCATGATTGCCGCAATACCCCTTATGTACTTCTCTCATCACATACTCTGTTTATGATTGACCAAGGCACCATGCTAAAGGTCCACCAAACATCTTTCTATATAAATTTCCACGAATTAAACAGTACCAAGCAGCTTTTTGCCAAAGTAATTGTGACTTCTTCTTGTCCTCAGGCAAGATACAATACTGCAAAAAGTTCACAAATTCGTTTCTCCAATCCTAAGTTAGATTATTAAAAATTAACTCACTCTTGACTTGGTGGAATGCCGAATGAAACAAATTTATCACAATAGCATTTTCTGCATTTGTTACATCATCAACAAATGCGAGATTTGCCAACGCACCTACTTCTGCATTCTCTTCCCTCGGTATCTGCACGGCCTTCCATGTCTATAATTGCCTAAGCAATTCTCGTACCTTTTCCAGGTATTGCTGCATTCTCATTTCTCTTACCACGTAATGTTAGATTTTAGTTTTAATGATGAAAAATAATATAATTATGTTTGATGTAGGGACTTAAGGAAATCAATTAGAATCAAAGTAAAAAGGAAAGTTTCAATCAAAGATTGACTGAAGCAATCAAGGAATCAGCGAAGCAATAAAGGTCCGAAAATAGATAATCAATCAAAGATGAAGGAAGATATCTATCAAAGGATGATTGAAGACATCAAGGAGAGAAGTCAAAGCTGAAGGAAGATATCAATCAGAAGATGATTGAAGCTATCAACAATAAAAAGGAAAGAAGTACTAAAGATTCGGCAAAGGCATAGCCAACACTGGAAATTCGGCGAATATCAAGGCTTAAAGATGGAAAGCTATCAAAGTCAATTCATCAAGGAAGTATAACAAGAATCAACCTTATTCTTGGAAAGAATCAATCAGTGATTCCTTTCAAGGATCAAATCTCTTGGGTTCACAAATCTCTCCAGACTCTAAGGCCTCCTGGAAAGTATATATTCGATCGTTTCAGACTTGAAGATACATACTTTGATCAAACCATTTACCCTCTCTTTGTTCTACTTGAAATAAGCAAGGTAGTTCTACTAGATCTGTTGTGTAACAAGTTAGAGAAGAAAGAGAGAAAATCATTGGTGAGGCATTGTATCAAGAAAAGACGAGAGACATAGAAATTGAGCAGTTGGTGTAAAACTACACTATTCATTTTGTACTCAAGAAACTCAATCACTTAAAGAGAACACCCTTGCAACCCAAGGGGACTGGACTAGGATTCACATTGAATCCGAACCAGTACAAAAACTCTGGTGTCTTTAATTCCTTTTCTTTACTTCTGCATTTTAATTCTGTACTTCTTACTATCTCACTCTTATTTCTAGTCGACTAATTGGTAAACTAGTCAACTTATAATAATTAATTTTAAAATAAGCAATTCACCTCACCCCCCTTGTACTTTCAATTGGTATCAGAGCTAGTCTCACTCTTCTTTGCTTAACAACTTGTGAGAAAAGATCATGGCAAACCAAGGAATTATTGGAGCACTCTTTCAAGAAGGAACATCACAAGTCAAACCACTTTATTTCAATGGACAACATTTTTCTCACTGGGAAGTGCGTATGGAAATATATGCAAAGTCATATGATATCAAAGTTTGGCGAGTAATCAAGAAAGGGAACTATCCACTACCTGTAGCAGCACAACATGCTGCTGATCCGGAAGATATAGACGAATATACAGATAGGCATATGGCAATTGTTTAAGTCAATGCTAAGGCCATAAATCTACTCTATAATGCTATAAGTGGAGAAGAATATGAAAAAATATCCAGTTGTGATACATCCAAAGAAATGTGGGATAAGCTACAAGTCACTTATGAAGGAACCATCAAAGTGAAAGAAACGCATATCAATATGTTGGTTCATGATTACGAACTCTTCCAAATGAAAGAAGTAGAATCCATTGAAGAAGTGATTGCAAGGTTTAGTAAAATCATTAGTGATCTAAAAGCTTTTGGTAAACCATATACAAGTGGTGATCATGTTTGGAAAATTTTGAGAAGTCTCCCTACGACTTGGCAGACAAAAGTAGTTACACTTGAATCACAAGATCTAAACAAATTATCGTATGATGAACTTCGAGGGGATCTCATAGCATTTGAAAAGACTCATATCAAGAAAATAATCCATGAAGAAAAGAAGAAAACAGTCGCATTTAAGGCTATAACTGACAAGACCAAAAATGACATTGACGATGATCCTGAAGCCCTCGAGGAAGAAATTGCCATGGTATCAAGGAACATGGATGGTCTAATGAGAAGATACAGAATCACCAAAAGAGAAAGAATATCATCAAGGCGAACCAGGCAATACAATGAGCAGGACAAGAATGATGTAAAATGTTATGAATGTGGAAGATACGGACATGTACAAGCTGAATTCCCATATCTAAAAAGAAAAGTTGCCAGAGGATTTATCAAGAATAAATCCTTTATATGCTGGAGTGATGAAGACGTTTCAGAACCAGAAGAAATAGTAAATTTGTGCTTCATGACAATTCTGAAAAATGACATAAACAAACTTTCAGGCTGCTGGACAGATGAAGATGTTTCAGATGACAAATGCAAGGATGAAAATGAAAACTGTTTTATGGCACGAGGTGAAACAAGCGAGGTAAGATCCTATAACTGTGAAAGATGCAATGAATTACAGGATATTCTTGACCTTACTTTAAAAGAGTTTCAAAAGTTGATGAATGAACTAAAGAGACTCAATAGGTAAAAGAAAGTCTGGAAACTCAAGCTTGAAGTATGTGAAATTAAAAAAGAAGTACTTCAAGAAGAATTTCAGGAATTGCAAATGCAACTCAATGGCATGCGCAAATCCATCAGTCATAATTCTGTTAAGTCCAACCAAGAAACTAACAAGTCAACTGAAAAGGGACCAACCAGAATATAGTCCACAGGCACTAGTGGAATATCCAAAACTGGATCACCTTCTGTATGTCACTTTTGTAATAAAAGTGGGCATAAATATTCCTTTTGTTGTTTTCGAAAATCAAATGTTCCAGGGTGGATTTGGAAACCCAAAGACAACCCTAATCTTATTAATACTAACCAACAAGGACCCAAGCAAGCTTAGGTACCTAAGAGAGAGTAATTGTTAAACTTTGCAGGAATACCACAGAAAGAGCCGCAAAGGAAAATGGTGCGTGTTCCAGCCATATGACAGGTGACAAAAATCTATTCAAAGAGATCACTAAAATAAATGGTGGAAGTGTTAAATTTGGAGATGACTTAAAGGGGAAGATAGTTGGCACTGGCACAGTCCCATTCAATAAAAACTGCAATATCACTGAAGTCTATGTCGTAGATGGACTCAACTACAATTTTCTAAGTATAAGCCAACTGTGTGATTCCAGATATGAGGTAAAAGTCAAGAAAAAAGGTTGTGCTATTGAAGATGAGTCAGGTTAAATAATCCTTCCAGGAAAAAGGTATGGAAATGTCTACATTCTTGATGGCTTCTAAAATGTAGATGGTCACATCTGCTTAACATCCATGTCTGATGATCCATGGTTATGGCATAAGAAACTTGGTCATGCAAGCATGCATCTTATAGATAAACTACCCAAGCATGATTTAGTTATTGGTCTTCCCAAACTCAATTTTTCTAGAAGTCATGTGTGTGATGCATGTCAGATTGGTAAACACACAAGGAACTCTTTCAAAATCAAAGACATTGTGTCCACATCTAAGCCTTTACAACTGCTTCATATTGATTTGTTTGGCCCTACTAGAACTACTAGCATAAGAGGTAAATGATATGTATTTGTTATTATTGATGACTACTCACGTTTTACATGGGTGATTTTTCTATCTCACAAAGATGAAGCTTTGAAAAACTTTGAGATCTTCTCTAAAAGAGTTGAACGAGAAAAGGGATATCTTATTACAACCATTCAAAGTGATCATGGAAGAGAATTTGAAAGCAGAGCATTTGAAGAATTCTGCAATAATCAAGGATACACTCACAATTTCTCAGCCCCAAGATCACCTCAATAGAATGGGGTAGTGGAACGATAAAAATAGAACTCTACAGGATATGTATTGAACCATGTTACTAGAATACTCATTGCCAAACCACTACTGGGCAGAAGCAGTAAATACAACCTGCCATATTCTCAACAGATGTCTCATAAGGCCAATTTTGAAGAAAACTCCATATGAACTGTGGAAAGGTAAACGACCCAACATAAGCTACTTCTATACTTTTGGATGCGAGTGTTTTATCCACAATAATAGTAAGGAAAATCTTGGTAAATTTCATTGAAGAAGTGATGAAGGTATTTTTCTAGGTTATTCTATAAACAATAGATCATTTAGAGTTTATAATAAGCGCACTTTATCTCTAGAAGAATCAGTACATGTAGTATTTGATGAAAATGACACTTCAGTCGAGAAAGGAATCATTGCAGGTGATGAAGATCAAAATCAAGAAACAATTCAGTCAAGCAATCTCCAAGAGTCAACTAACAGGGTAGAAAATGCCACAGAGTCGACTGATGAAATTAACAATAGTTAACCAGAAGCACAGATAGAGTCGACTACTCCTACAAGCATAACGCGACCAAATGAATGGAAGAGTGAGCCAGAATACCCTCAAAAGTTTATCATAGGAGATCCAATTGAAGGGATGAAAACCAGAGGAACTAACAAGAAGAAGGCAAACTTAGCCTTGATCTCCCAGATTGAACCAAAGAAGATAGACGAGGCTCTCAAAGATTCAAGCTGCGTTCAAGCCATGCAGGAAGAACTGGATCAGTTTGATAAGAACCAAGTATGGAAATTGATGCCTAAGCCTGCAGACCCTACTGTAATTGGAACTAAGTGGGTCTTTAGAAAAAAGCTCAACGAGGATGGAAAATTCATAAGGAACAAAGCCAGATTAGTAGCTCAAGGATATTCTCAACAAGAAGGAGTCGACTATGATGAAACCTTTACACCAGTAGCTTGTCTAGAGTCAATATGAATTCTTCATGCATATGCATCCTTCAAGAAATTCAGACTTTTCCAGATGGATGTCAAGAGTGCCTTCTTAAATGGTTTCAAGTTTATGTTGATGATATTATCTTTGGTAGTGCTAACCCCTTGTTGTGCAAGGAATTTTCAATGCTTATGCAAAGCGAATTTGAAATGAGTATGATGGGAGAGCTCACTTTTTTCCTTGGACTTCAAATCCAACAATCTGAAGAAGGAACCTTCATATTCCAGACGAAATATACCAAGGAGCTAATTAAGAAATCTGGCATGAGCAATGCTAAAGCTATTGGCACACCTATGTTCCCGACAACAAATCTTGATAAAGATGAAAAGGGAAATCCCGTTGATGAAATAAAATATCATGGAATGATTGGTTCTTTACTTTACCTAATTGCTAGTCGACCATATATTATGTTCAAAATTTGTAAATGTGCCAGGTTTCAGTCAGCTCCTATGGAGTCTCATCTGACTGCAGTAAAGAGAATTATTCGTTATCTCATTGGAACTACTTTTCATGGACTATGGTATTCATGCTCTAAAAATTTTAAATTAGAAGGTTTTTCACATGCTGATCATGCAGGTGACAAGGAAGACAGGAAAAGCACCAGTGGCATGTGTCAATTACTGGGAAAATCCTTGATTTCTTGGAATAGTAAAAAATAAGGATCAATTGCATTATCCACTACAGAGGCTAAATACATTGCCATCGGACAATGTTGTGCATATTTACTATGGATGTCTCATCAATTGGGTGATTATGAATTATTATTTATATTCAAATTTTTTTGTGATAACTCTAATGCTATATGCCTTTCAAAGAATCCTGTGCATCACTCTAGAGCTAAGAATATAGACATCAAGCATCATTTTATTAGAGATCATGTTATCAAAGGTGATATAGAATTGTCATTTGTTAGTACCACTGATCAATTAGCTGGTATTTTCACTAAGCGTCCACTAGAAGATAGATTCTGTCTTTTAAGAGATTTACTTGGTATTATTTCTCTTAATTTCAAAAATTAGGACCTATTTGTCTTTTTAATTTCTTATTTGACTAATGCTCAAATTGTTATTGTGTGTACTCATTTATGTATCGCCTCCGCTTTTCCCTCTCTTTTTACATCAATCACTGCTTCCAATAAAGGAAAACCAATCATCATGACTCTTCACTGACACCCTTTCCTTTCATATACTCAACCGTCAATATTTCCTTCTTAAACTCTGAACCCATTTCTCTGACTTCCTCGTCTTCATCTTTCAAAAACCCTCTTCAGAAACCCTTTCTCTCAAAGTAGGTTCTCCCATGGCTAAACACCCCAAAATCCCTTTTGCCTCCACCAGAAAAAGTACTCAGTCTAGAGGCAAACCTTCTTCTCAGCCCCCAGAACCCGTAGACATAAGATCTGACCACTCCGAAGGTTTTGCCTCTTCACAGGTAGAACTTTCAGACTACTCTCACTTAGGAAAAAAAGCTCTAGGAAAAAGGCCCATGGAAGATCCTCCTGAAACCCTTACCTCTAAAAACTCCAGAGTAGACCTTTCAAGCTCCTTAGAATCAAACCTCAATTTTTGGGATTCCCCAAATTTGGATTTCTTTCTTGCCCTAAAAGACAAGCCCATTGATCATGGAAGAATTGTTGATCTTGATGTCATTAATACCCTCAACTGTAAGGTAAAGGATCTTTTTTCCTTTCAAGGTTGGTCAAAATTCCTCTTTTTACCCCCTCCTAAAGTCTCTGAACCTTTAGTGAAAATGTTTTATGCAAATCTTTGCTCTAGTAAGCCTGATAGGTTAGAATCCTTAGTTCTGGGTAAGCGCATTGTTCTTGATTGTGCTACGTTTGACTCAATTGTTTTGTGTAAATGCTCTGGTTTTCCATTGCTTTTAAAAACACTTGGCCTGATGATTTTGAAATTTCTTTTGATAAAGCAAAACACTGTATTGCTGAGTGCCCTTCTGATTCTCTCCCAAACCAGTTAGGTCCTAGTGATGTCAACTTTGAAACTCGTGTCTTAGCCCACATTGTTGCAACCACTCTTCTTCCTAGAACTGGATCATTCTCTACCTTCTCTCAAAGAGACACCTTTCTTGTTTATTGTCTTGTGACCAAACTCAAGATTAAGTTATCCTCCCGGGTCATAAATTTTATGATAGAGAGTGCTGATGATCCCACCAGTCTGCCTTATGGTATGGCCATATCTTATATCCTAGAAGCCCACTATATCTCCATCTCAGAATACCCTCTTGTATATGTGTCAAAATCCTACAATTCTAGGAATTTTGCTAGTATAGGGTATATGTGTGTAAAGGGCACGTGGGTAAATAAATATGACAGTGAAGTCAAAAGTGTTAAACCCGACTCCAAGGTCAAATCCTTTGTATCTCTTCACAGTGTTAGTGATCCTGCTATCATTGAAAAATTAACTGTCATTAACAACAAGCTGACTATCATCCAAGAACTCCTTACTGCAACTCAATCCACTGTTGGTGACATTCATATAATTTCCAAGGAAACAGGGTCAGACGTCTCCAAGATAAGGGTCAGAATTCAGATACATGGAGAAAATATAATCAAAGCCTTTAAGGAAGTTCATGACAGGATTGATGGGTAACCGTTGAAGTAAATGCCAGCTTTAACCGTCTAAAGGAGGCCATATGCAATACTCTTACCTATTTCCTGCGTCACTAGTGGTGGAAAGCTCAAACAATTCTTTTTGTGTTTTGCTGTTTTGGACTGGTTAACCAGTCAACTGGATGTTTTTTTTCTTTCTTTTATGACTCTGCATGCTTATCATGCCATCCTTAGTTATATTTCATGTTTAATGGTTATATGCTATATTATCTGCTTTAGTGGTATTCCCTCTTTACTGATGTCAAAAAGGGGGAGACAAAAAATATAACTTCTGTAGGTACATTAGTCGACTAATTGAGGGGGAGTCAACTGAAACCATTGAGGGGTAGTCAAAAACACCCATTGAGGGGGAGTAAAATTACAGGAAAGTTAACTGGTATTTATACATATTATTTTATCATCATTAAAAAGGGAGAGATTGTTAGATTTTAGTTTTAATGATGAAAAATAATATAATTATGTTTGATGCGGGGATTCAAGGAAATCAATCAAAATCAAAGTAAAAAAGAAAGTATCAATCAAAGATTGATTGAAGCAATCAAGGAATCAGAGAAGCAATAAAAGTCCAGAAATAGATAATCAATCAAAGCTGAAGGAAGATATCAATCAGAGGATGATTGAAGTCATCAAGGAGAGAAATCAAAGCTGAAGGAAGATATCAATCAGAAGATGATTGAAGCTATCAACAATAAAAAGGAAAGAAGTACTAAAGGTTCGGCAAAGGCATAACCAACACTGGAAATCCAGCGGATGTCAAGGCTTAAAGATGGAAAGCTATCAAAGTACACTCATCAGGGAAGTATAATAGGAATCAACCTTATTCTTGGAAAGAATCAATCAGTGATTCCTTTCAAGGATCAAATCTCTTGTGTTTGCAAATCTCTCCAGACTCTAAGGCCTCCTGGAAAGTATTTATACGATCGTTTCAGACTTGAAGATACATACTTTGATCAAACCATTTACCCTCTCTTTGTTCTACTTCAAACAAATATTGTAGTTCTACTAGATCTGTTATGTAACAAGTTAGAGAAAAAAGAGAGAAAATCACTGGTGAGGCATTGTATCAAGAAAAGACGAGAGACATAGAAACTGAGCAGTAGGTGTAAAACTACACCATTCATTTTGTACTCAAGTAACTCAATCACAGAAAGAGAACACCCTTGCAACCCAAGGGGACTGGACTAGGATTCACATTGAATCTGAACCAGTATAAAAACTATAGTGTCCTTAATTTCTGCACTTTACTTCTGCATTTTAATACTGTACTTCTTTCTATCTCGCTCTTATTTCTAGTCGACTAATTGGTAAACTAGTCAACTTATAATAACTAATTTTAAAATAAGCAATTTACCCCCTCTTGCACTTTCACGTAAGTCCCCTGCATTTGGTTAACCACCAACGACGAGTCACTTTTGATCACAATTTATTCTATACCAAGTTCTCGTGCCAATTTTAAGCCTGCAATCACAACATCATACTCTGCCTCATTATTAGTGATTGGATAACATTATATTGCTTGTCTTATGACTTCACCTAAATGTGGAATCAGAACAATTCCTAAACCCGCTCCTTTAACGTTTGAAGAACCATCGGTAAATAGGGTCCAAGTCCCCGGATTAGCTCCAGTAAACACCTGCAGTTCCTTTTTTGCTTCAGGAACTAAATTCATGCTAAAATCTGGTACAAAATCTTCTAAGACCTGCGATTTTATTGCAGTTCTAGGCTGACATATGATATCATACTCACCGAGTTCTATTGCCCAATTAACTAATCTACTTGATAATTCTTGTTTGTACATTATGTTCCTTAGGGGGAAAGCAGTTATAACAAAAACAGGATGACATTGAAAATAAGGTCTTAATTTCCTAGATTCCATAATTAATGCTAAAGAAAGCTTTTCCAAGTGTGGATATCATTTATCGGCATCTAGTAAAGACTTAATAACATTATAAATTGGGGATTGTTTACTTTTATCTTCTCGTACCGATACTGCACTTACCGCCACTTCTGACACAATGAGGTAAATGAGCAACCTTTCACCGTCTTTTAGTTTGGCTAGCAAATGCGGATTTGATAGATACGACTTTAGGTCCTTGAGAGCTTGTTGGCACTCATTAGTCCATTCAAACTGATTCTGATTTTTCAATACTGAAAAGAATTTAAAACTTTTTTCTGATGACTTTGATATAAACCTCCCTAGGGCTGCTATCCTACCTGTTAATTTCTGCACTTCTTTCTTGCTCGTGAGTATATATGGTATTTCCTCAATTTCTTTGATCGGTGCAGGATTTACTTCAATACCCCTATAAGAAACAAGAAAACCTAAAAACTTACCTGAAGCCATGCCAAAAGCACATTTTTCCGGATTTACCTTCATATTATACTTGCGGAGAATCTCAAAAGTGTCTGACAAGTGTTGAAAATGATCTCTCGCTTGTGTTGACTTGACTAACATATCGTCTATGAATACTTCCATAGTTTTTCTCAGATATTCTTGAAACATTTTAGTAACCAATCTTTGATACATGACTCCAACATTTTTCAAGCCAGATGGCATGACTTTATAACAATAAGCCCACATGCCCGTGATAAATGAAGTTTTTTCTTCATCTAGATAGTCCATTTTTATTTGGTTATATCCTGAATATGCATCTAAAAAAACTCAAAAGTTCATGTCCTGCAGTAGAATCAATTAACTTACCTTTCATTTCTAGGCTTAAATTTTCTCCGATGTAAACTTTTCTGTCTGGCCAGTGTACAAATAGCACTACAACTTCGCGCTCTTCAGTAGTTGTCTCAATATTTTTATTTTCTTCTGGATCTTGAACAACATCGGGTCTCGAATCAACATCAGTCTATCCTGGCATGTCTTCAGTTGAGGTCTTTGTAGTAACATCCTCAACCGAATTCTGTAGTTGCTATTTCACATCTGCATCATTGATTACCGTGCTTGAAATTACCACTGAGTTGATATTTATTGAAGCTTGCTGATCTCCATAGATTTGAC